TATGGAAACTAAAGTATGATTCTAAAGTTCTAGTAGTGATTTTTCAAGCAAAAAGTTTAGTAAGACATTTATTTACATTGGTTGTTTTTTCCTTCTATAACTTGTATTAAACCAAAAATGATACCAGTATTCTTAAGGAGGGATTGCTGCCTGGCTTCTGAATTGATGAAATATTGAAAGTGCATTTGCTTATAAGTTTTATATATTTAGATGTAAGGTATTTAAAAGATCGTGTTTTTCTTTCCTCCTCACAACTGTACAACTTAAATTAGAAATGGTAAACTGAGTTTGTAATTAGCAGGTACTATATTTTTTGGCGGTTTGGCGGCGTATAAAAAAGGCCCTTTCTTCTTCTTAAAATTACTACTGAACAATCTATTTAATTGAAATTTTTAAACAATCAAACTTGAAGTAGTCTTTTGCAACTAAAATTAATAATAATGGACTCAAGTTTTAGAATATATCAAATAAATATGGTTTTTTAAATAAACTACAATCAGGCAAGTCTTTGAAAGCTTCCAATTGAAGCATAGCAAAAATTTAATTTAAAAAAATTCTACTCTGTTAATAAAAGGTTAAAAAAAATTGTTTTTGTATCATTTTGTATATTTATATGACTACACCAGCGTTTGTTAAAATAAGAAAAAATTAAATATATGAAGCTTTTAAAAAACCCAACTAATATTCCTTAAAATTTAATAAAAAAGAGGAAATTTGGGTTAGCCAATATGAATATAAATTTATATTAATTTGCTTATATCATCTGATAGGCCCTATATGGTAGGATCATTTTATGCAAACAAAAAAAATTGTTTGTTTAAGGACGACGGACCTAATTCGAAATTTTGTGCCACTGCGCAGAAAACTTCGCATATGCCTTGAATCAAATTTACTTCATTATGTATTGCAAAAGAATAAAAAAAATTACATTTTTAATTCTTTTATAGATATTCAAACGTTTCCTCTCAATTAAAAGATATTGTAAATATTTTGATTTATATTCATTTGTTAATTTTATATATAAATGATTTATTTAGCCAAAGTATTTTCATTGAAAATTCCCCCAAAAATGTGCCCCACACCTGAGTTTGACATGCCCCCCCCCCCCCCCGAAAAGTCTTAGCCGATGACCCATTTATTTTTTTGGCATAATTTGCCGGTAAATTGTCTGGTTAACATTGTCCTTTAATATGAATAAAAATTCTATTGCAGATTTTTTTTTCAATGATCACTCTTATACCCTACAAGGGCAATTTCCCTTTACTTCCGATACTAATTATCGCTTTCCATTGTCAACGTTTGGAACGCTCCCCATTAAAAATCTACATTGATGACCATATGATTTTTTTTTATTGATTTTTAACTCACCAAAGTCACTTTACCTCATATTAAAATTTGAATAAAAAATCTATAGCAGAAATGAATTAGGTCCGTCGTCGTTAAGAATATTTCCATTGTAACGTAATTGATGTCGAAAATAGTGCAAACATTTTTTTTCAAAAATGATCCTTGAATGACAAAAAATGTGGGAAGTCGTCAGAAAAATAATGTAAATATAAGATATGAAATAAATTTTTGAGAATTCATGAGGTACATGAAATACAACGCTTGATCGCGCCTGCATATTTATTATGAAGCGCTAACGCGCTTCATGAAATATGCGTGAAGCGTCATAGTTCATGTCCTCATGAATTCTCAAAAATTAAATTCGATTCTTAAATGCACACCAATAAATAAACTTCTAAATAAGCCACCTGAAAAGAAAAATATATAAAATTTATTAACAGTGTTCAAAAAATTGTGGTATTTTTTTTTTTTACAAGAGGTCAAGCCAATTTTTCAGTTATGGACAGTGTTCAGATTGAGCATTTAGCAAGGATAATAAAAGGTTAGATATAGCTAACATATACATACTTAAGAGGAAGGGTCTTCAGGAGGGAGAAATCTGCTCATTCAATTTTTTTTTCATATCTCTTGATTTTTTAAGTAGACAGAAAAAGAGGTTTATCATGATCTTCTGTTGTCCAGAGAAATGTGACCCGCGATCTTTAACCTTTATTAACTTGTGAACTCAATATTAATAGGGGGCATCTTCTTACAGGTCAGAGTATGTCCAGGGTCTTGTGATCTTTTATACCTGTATTTGACCTTCCAAAAAATAAGGGTATTTTGATTTCAATATTCCATGCGAACGAGACGATTTTGCAACGTCGTACGAAAACTGCATCAGTATTATTCTCTTTAGAGAAGTGGACAGGCTTTCGCCTACATCCACTTCTCTTCGCAAACCTTCATGTTTTGATTCTGGAAAACGTGTAAATCTCGAACCGGTGACGGTCTACACTTCAACTGACATTTCGTCTAAAATACGTATGAATGTACGTAATAGACGTGTTATATTATCAATTTTATCATAAATACACACAATTGTCACAAGACTGACCTTTAAGTATTGTTAATCCATTTTCACAAGTTCTCCATCCCGGATTTAAACTAATGTTTATCTACCACAGCTTATTAGAAAAAATTGAAAATTTTAAGTCGGATAATTTGGAAAAATTGGTGAAGACGTATTTTAATGTTCAAAAAAAGTTTTTGACAATTCACTTTTGATTTAGCATATTATTCAAAATTAATATTATTACCTATACTTATTTTTACTATTTTACTACAATTTAAATGTAAATTTGAGCTTAAAAAATACTTCATTACTTCCTCACTGACAATATACTAAAAAATATTTTCTTTTATTTTTAAACGATATTAACTCTACCTTTCCCGAGAAATGAAAAAAAAAAATTAAAACAAAGATCAAAAGAATTTGAACGAAACTTGAGGAAATACTGTCTCGTTAATTTAAACAGAGTAAACGATTTCTCTCGTTTCATTGTTATTTTGTAAAAATAGTTTCCATTTTTATCCGAATTAGAGATTTTTGAATACTTCAAGAGTTACTTGCACATAATTTAAATCCGGGATAGAGAACTTGTGAAAATGCATTAACAATACTTAAAGGTCAGTTTTCTTGTGACAGTTGTGTGTATTTATGTTAAAATTGTTAATATAGCACGTCTATTACGTACATTCAGACGTATTTTAGACTAAATGTCAGTTGAAGTGTAGACCGTCACCGGTTCGAGCTTTACACGTTTTCCAGAATCAAAACATGAAGGTTTGCGAAGAGAAGTGGATGTAGGCGAAAGCCTGTCCACTTCTCTAAAGAGAATACATCAGTATCTACTATGGCATTTTCAAAGAAATCCAAAATCCTACAGAGTTTAAACTGGAATCCTTTTCGGAGGAAATGGACGATTGGTACCAATTGACGACAAGTGTTGTAGCTGAAGCACAAATCCGAATGGTTATAACAATTCATAAACCGACTCGAATACATTTGTTTAAATATTTAGTTTGTATGATATATATATAATACGTAACTCTGTAATTTTATGAAAGCTATGGGCCCAAGCAATACATAAACGAAATACCAGTATTTTATCCCCACCTTTTACAGATCAAAAGACATAAGGTGTGACGGACGGACGGACGGACAGACACACCGTGTAAAGTGATCGCTAAGTGTCGCTCTGCTTTGCAGGCGACACAAAAGCAAAAGCTAGAAAACCAGTTATTATTCTACAAAATATACCATTTATTACCACCCACTCATTAAGAAGAATATGAAATCTGCCGAAATTAAATTTACTTACATATTCTATGAAGAATGCATATCGTTAAAAAAAAAAAATCAGTTTTGTATTTGAGACGATTGTTTAATGTCGTTGGAAATGACTATTTACACTGAATATAAGCATTCTTAAGGATATCCGCTTATCAGCCAGGAAGGATAACTCTCAAGTTTATTATTAATTTCTAAAATTCTCAAAATGAGGCTAGAAATTACAATGTTTTGCGCAACAATTTTCATTTTTGCATCCCTATCTGATTCAAGATTCTTTGAAGTCTTAGAAACGATTATATAAAAAATTGATATTTGTGCCCCATAGAAGCACAAAAATAAATATATCTTCAGAAAAATCTTCGAATTTCCTTAGATATAATTTTAAATACCGTTGTTTATTAGCATTAAATGAAATAAAAATTGATACAGTGTATATGGTGTCTTCCAATGATAGCAAACGCCATAAAACTTTTGTAACACTTGAGGTAAAAAGAAGAAACTTATTAAGAACTTATTAGAATAAAAGGTATACATATTTCTCCAAATGCCTGCATCCATATACCTATAGTTTTTTTTATCCTAATAAATAGAGAATAATACATACCCTTTTCCATATCACATCCTGTATCAGCCCGAGATATCAATATCAAATTGGTCGAGAGGTGATACAGGATGCTATGTTGATAAGGGTATGTTTTATTATGTTTATTACATACTTACTAATAAACTTCAGCAGACATGAACTTTAGGAAAAAACCAACAAATAGTCATGCACTGACTTCCGATATGTACATAGCTTATTGTATTAAAGAACAGAAAGTTAAAATTAAGAGAATTTGTACCAAAGTACTTTTTGAGGTTTAATTTACCAGGGGTGTGATATTGATCCGTATCAGCCCCACAGATCCATATCAGCCCTGCAGGGCTGTTACGGCTATTGTGACGTCAGGCATATCACATTTGCAAAAATCCTGTATTTATTAATAAGTATGGAATAAATGTTTGTTTCAACTAGAAAATGCATATCAGGTGTTTTTATTCGCATTTCTTGAGGTTTGATAATTTTCCTTATATAACATGATTAGCTTTTATGATGAATTTTAAATAAATCCCATTGGTAAACACCCATTACTTTGAGAACTAAGAAACATGCTTGTTAGTATTTTAAATTAGTTTAATGCCTGATTTTCAGAAACCGAGGATCGGACTATCGTAAAGTAGACACAACTGTTACTGCAAGAAAGGGCTACCATATTAAATTGCGTAGAAACCTTTAAGTTTCCTGGTCATTTGCATGTCAAGTTTATGATTTGGATGATGGAAATTAGTTATAGAATAGGAATATTTCTTTTAGGAATAACTTCTCTAGATGGATATGGTATGTACAGCAGTAATGTTATTACTTATTTCATGATTTTTGTACTATACTACATTAAACATATGCAAAGATATTTGGTTAATTTTATACAAATCATTTCTTCCTTAAACTGCGTATATCTGAAATATTGAACACATTTAAATCCCAGACTGAGCTATTTATATGACTACACTGCACTTTTAACGAAGTAAGAAAGTTTTTAAATATCTAGTTGAAAATGAATGTTGTAAACTACAGAGCGTCAAATTTCTTAAAAAGTAGAGGCATATTTTAGTTTTGTGTGAAATCAGTAAACATCCCTTCTACTAAACTTTTCTTTTTCCTTCACATAGAAGAACAAAGTTCAACTCCTCAATTTGTGAAAAAATACATTTAAAGTATATTATTCAAATCGGCGGTCATTACTTTTGTGTCTAAACCCTTTCTAATTATGGTTTTTTGCCTTCATGTTTGTTTTTAAAGATCTTACATAACAACTAAAATTAAATCTAAATATATTTAATTGCATACTATGCAATCACATGAAGCTGAACCACAATCCTGAGTCAGCTAGGCTCTGCTGTTCTAGATAGTGAACCTTTTTAAGTTCACTATCTACTGCAGGCGGAAGTTGATCATTCTATCTTACCGTTTACAATAATTAATAAAATCGAGTTCATCAGACACTCAACTATTGTTCCGGGTCCTCTAAGAGCTGTCCTATCCTGGCCACTCCGACACAGTAAAAGTTCCCTCGACACGGTAAATTCTATACACGAGACACCTATCGTGGAAAAATGTCATAATAATAAAATGTAACTAGATGAGATCTCGTTCCTAACAACGAGTATGTCTTCCGTCCGAAATATCGATAGGATGAGATGTGATTTTGACTAAGATATTTGTCAAAAGATAATGGAGGAAAGTTTTTCCCCAATAAGATTCCATGCTTTCGATTTAAATAATATTATCAAAGAGTAATAGATGAAAGGCTTTTGGTCCCTCTTAGCCCCTAATTTTAGGGTTCAGTCCCCTTTTCTCGTTATCAACTAAAAAGTCTTGTGATTTTGAAGATTCTGTGTTCAACAAGTATTCAGAAGCTTTTTATCATTGTCAAGGTACGAAGAATAGAAATATTTAGGGGCCAGCCCTGCACGTCCTTAATGGATCCGTTTTGCAAAATTCAGAGGGGTGTATATTTTTAAGAACACTATTCTGTACATCTTTTGTTCAATTTTGCTTATCAAAATATTTCCCCTTTTCGAAATATAAAACTTCAAAGAATTAGCATTCTGGGCCCTTATTACGTAATATATGATCAAAATTTTATAATATATAGTTACAACTTGTTAAGATAAACATATTGACTTCAGTAATTAATACCAAAACATTGATTGTTTAAGGGTATTAATGAAAGACTTTTTCGCCCCTCTGAGCCCCTAATTTGAGGGGTCAGTCCCTTTTTCTTGATATCAAATAAAAGGTCTTGTGATTTTGAGGACTTTTTGTTCAACAAGTATTTAGATATTTCTTTTCGAGATCCGTAGAATAGAAATATTTAGGGCGCAGCCCTTCAAGTCCTTAATGGGACCATTTTGCAAAAATTGAAAGGGTGCATATTGTTAAGAACAATATTCTGAACATCGTTTGTTCAATATTGCTTATTAAAATAATTCTCCCTTTTCAAGATATGAAGCATCAACGATTTACCATTTTAGCCCCCTTTTGGCCCCTTATTACGTAATATATGATCAAAAATTGTAATATGGCATAGCAACTTGTTAAGATAAATATTTTTCTTCAGTAGTTAATAACAAAAATATTGATCCTTAAAGAGTTATATATGAAAGACTTTTGGCCCCTCTTAGCACCTTATTTGAAGGGTCAGTCCCTTTTTCTTGATATCAAATAAAAAGTCTTGTGATTTTGAAGACTTTTTGTTCAACAAGTATTTAGATGTTTCTTTTTGTTTTCGAGATATGTAGAAAAGAAATATTTAGGGGTCAGCTCTTCGAGTCCCCAACAGGACTGTTTTGCAAAAATTGGAAAGTTGCATATTGTTAAGAATATTATTCTGAACATCGTTTGTCCAATATTGCCTATCAAAATATTTCTCCCTTTCAGGATATAAACCTTCAATGATTTAGCATTCTGGCCCCTTTTGGCCCCTTATTACGTAATAAATGATCAAAATTTTATAATATGTAGTTGCAACTTATTAAGATGAACATATTTGCTTCATAATCAATAATAAAATATTGATCGTTAAAGAGTTATATATGAAAGACTTTTGGCCCCTTTGAGCCCCTGATTTGAGGGATGAGTCCCGGTTTTAATAGCAAACTAAAGTTCTTATCATTCTGCACAACTTTTGTTTTACATGTATTAGAAAAATGTTTATAGGTAAAAAGATATGAAACAAAACACATTAAATTTTGTTAGATGTTTCCGAGTCATTTTTTCGAGCCCTTGCGAGCTTTGGCGCCTTTTGCGCCAGAAAGTTTTGAGCACCCAATCGCACATCTACAAACATCTTTATACCTTCATTGAGAATCTTGAGTCAATATCTTAAGTTGTTTAGGAGGAGTTACCAGGACAAACCGACCCTCTGAAAATCAGAAAATCCTTAATATCGCAAAAGCAGAAGTGATGTCATCAAGGAACAGAATTCCAATAAGGTTAAGATAGATACCTATCAGATCTGAAAGTTTTATTAAAATCGGCCGAAATCGAAATATGTTCAAAAATTTCAATTTGATCTAATCCAATTCCATAACGTCCGACCTGGTCCCTCGCGCCCTCGATATCCAAGACCCATTAAACTGTTTATCCAGTTGCTGTAAACAACTTGTCACATACATGTATCGGATGACACGAGTGTTATTTTAGAAATTGTGAGGGAACAGGTAGGACTTTATGGAATTCGATAAGATCAATTTGGAATTTTGAGAATATTTCGATATGTTGTTTACCACTTGACTATAATGTAAGTATATGTGATGACGCGTCTGTCAGGAGTTAGAATTTTGTAATTTAAGAGACAAGACATTTTGTAACCTATACTTACATTGCATTGTTCATCAATAAAGGAAAACATGAGCCCACTTGTCCTATTTTTGAAACATTGCCAAAATTAGTATATATATATATGTTTAATTCCTAAAAAAGACATAAGCAGTCTGGGTCAGCACATTTGGATTCTTTTTTAAACAATTTCAAAATGCTTTTTGATAATAGAAAATGTTTAAATTTTATTATTTACTTCTTTTAAAACGCACGTGACCCTTAATCATTTTGTTAATTGTTTTTCAATCTTTGAAATTGAAGACGTAAAAATAATTCGGATAAAAAAATTAACTGTGCATTCTGGTGAACAACTGTATACTCTTAATTCTTATGATGGCTGATTTCAATTACCCTTAGGAACATAATTGCATTTTCAACAATTGGACTCAGAAACATTTTTATTTAAATTTATAAAAGTAAAATTTCAACTACGGCAATAGCTGAAAAATGTTTTATACTACTTTTTATTCCGCAGTTTCATTGAATCTCAAGAGACGATTTTGGGCTTTCCGTATTAATCGGATTATCTTTGATCATAACAAGTATACGTATACATGTACATGTATTGAGTTCAGTAGTAAATGCAATACGATACAGGTAGATTATAAAATTCTTCAGCTATGTCGTTATAATCTTCTAAATTTTGCTTTTTGAAAAAAATATCCAAAGGTCAAAATTCTACATTACTGCCAAAATGCGCTGCTGAAATGAAATAAGGAAAAATACTACATTTTCCTTCTCTCTCTCTCTCTCTCTCTTATAAGTTTAGACTACCGGTATTATATGACATAATCTTTACCTTAATTTTATTTTTTAATTGTTTTTAAAGACAATTTATCAAAAGGTCAAAACACAATAATGTTGCCAACACACCAATCATGTCAACCTCCGTGTGTACCAACAACTGCAACAGATGGACAAAAAGAAACGTGTACAAATACTGAGGCCATTGGCCCAAGGTCAAAAAGTTCAAAAACGTTATGGTCTGTAGACCTTGGTGGAAATCGCAGTATTTACAGCATCAGTATACTGTTCAAAGATTATGCAGGGTGGGGTAAGATTTTCTTTGGATTTATTATATGTCGCACTAATTTTTTTAGAACTTCCTTTCCTATGTGATTTGTAAGATCTAATATTGCTCTGAAGAACTTTTTATACAATATTTTTATAAGGACAAGAAATACATAATTGCTGATATCACAGCCAAACGTAAAATTGCTCTAAAAATCTGCATTCATACTTTACTGCTAAAACTTTCTTTTATATTCATAGATTCAGCTTAATTTGAAAAGGCGAAAATCTCATCCTTCATTCTAAGTTTACAAGCATGTTAAAAAAAAACATTTTCAAATCTAAAACATCTAAAGAAGAATATATTCTTTTAATATCAATGCAAATAAGTAAAAATTAAAGACAATATCAAGAAAATTGAAGAGATGAATGCTTTTTATGTATCCATAAGTTTTAAGTAATGCATCAATACTATGCAGTGCGAGAAATGTTAATATATTCCATTTCATTTCACCTTCATTTTAATTTGAATTACATAAGGTGTAATGTTCGCTGTGCAAATGCAAATTTTTCTCTCAGACTGAATTTCTTTCGTTAAAACAACTATCGCAAAGCAATTCAACGTTTATAAGAATCAAATAATCAACAAACAAATTGCTAAGTTATAGTCTCTTGAACATACATGTAACACTCAGTCTGGTAAATGTACATATTACTTCAGATTTTTAAGTAATAAACAAATGATTTCTAGGTTAGACTACAATTTGCCACTAAGAAATCCGATTTCTTTCAAATCCATGCAATAAGAAGGAATAGATTAAAGTTAAATTTATCATGTTTCCGTTAAAGTAATTTTTCGTTTCGATTTAAACGTATTTCATAGATTGTAGAATGTTAGATCCATTTCATCATTTCATCGAAACTGTAATTAAACATCTATAAATTTATTTAGGAACGATCAAAGAATGCCATACTCAAGGGCAACAAGTGACAAATTTATAACTCTATTAGTTTAAATGCAAATAACAATTCATGTCAAAAATGCAAGTAAAAGCTTACTTTTTTCCAATATGAAAATTTTAATATTTAGTATCTATTATAGCATTGAGACTCTTCCATAAAAAAGAGTAACCAAATTATATATGAATTCTGAATAATTATCGACTTATGCTATATGTTTAGTATGTCAAACATCTAATTAGATGTGATCATAATAGGCAAAAATAGATTAAAGAAAATGAATGAAAATGCAGTGATGTAAATTTATCTTTCAGTAATGAGACAAAGAGGTCGATTAGCTGGATTTTCTCTTTATATATCCAACACACATAAAAAAGAGGACGGTAGAATTTGTTACAAAGACACGTTTTCTTTACCTTTCTTGGAGTTTAAAACAGTGTGTATTGGATATGGTCGTTACGTCATTTATTACAATGAAAGGCTAGACGGAGTTACCTACCCTGATGGATACCAATTTCAGACATATACACAGTTATGTGAAGTCGAAGTGAAAGGTTTGGGGCATTGTTTCTTCATAAATCTGCATCACGGAGATATCAAATTGACAGTATTTATGACTCTCATCACTGAAATATATTCTATTTTATCTAATTTTACTTTTGATTTGCAAAAAAAAAAAAAAAAAAAAATAGTACAGTACCTAATTTCACATTTCATATTTTATTTTAAAAAAAATCATCATACAATACAAAAAAATGTTGTATACTCAGTAAAAATGAACCCCTTTTTTTCTAAGAGGGTAAGGGAAACAACTTGAATTGCACACAACAACAAACGGGCAAACTGATGACCTTACATAAATGTGAGTGTCATGGGCTCCATGCCTGACACGCATGGCGACTAGGAACACAAACTGCAAAGCTTTTATACCTGTTTCTGCTTTGCTACCTGGTCTTAGTCTCTATCTTCAATCAGTCTGTAAGCCGTCACGGCAGCTTAGTTGGTAGAACGCTCACTCCGGGATCGGAAGGTCATGGGTTCGAACCCCGGCCGCGACTAACCTAAGGTGTTGCATGGATAACATTTTGTCTTACATGCAGAAAGTCTTGAAAAAAGACAATCAAAATATTATATGGTCCATATAATTCATAGATTTAAACATCGCAAGTAATATGTCAATGCTTCTCGCTTTCTGTGAACTACTACGTTCATAGTATATTCTCGCCAATTGTCATCGCCGAATGAACACACCTAAACGGATAAAACAAGAAAACTTAATGTACCACTTTAAAACGACATTATGTAATTAATAAGTACGTGTGCTCTATCTGAGAAAACACGCACATCTTTCTTTAAGACCGCACGTGTCGTACCTGCCCTACCCTCTCTAATTTTTTTAAAAAATTCATCTGTTCAGAAAATGGATATGGATTTCAACTTAAAATATATTTCAAGATGCAGCATTAACAACTTAATATTAAATTAACAATTCTCAGAGTATTTAACTTCATTTGATATGGAATTCGACATTGAATTTCATTCAGAAGAATTAAATGAGAGGAGTAAATGAATATTATAAAAAGGTGATTGAGAAAGTATTATTATCAATGATTTTAATAACTGGGTATTAAAAAACGATGACATTTAAGCAGGCTGATTTATTTTGAAAGAGAGGGAACGAAATATAGAATGTGCATTGGTTTAAATACAATTTGTGCAGTTATGGTGCACGACAGGCTTAATTGATCGATTATTTGTGTTTTTACGCCAAATCAGAGGTATAACAGACATATGAAATAAGATAAATGATTAATCCTCTGTGTAAATATTAAAGAATGGAAAATTTCTATCTTCTAGAGTCTGAAACTTTTTAGCTAAAGCAAACCTTTACCCGGGGGTATAAAATCTGTTATCCATCCCTTAGAAAATGTTTATTCAACTTTTGGTGCAAACTTGATTTGCTGTAATATAATTGTTTGGCGATTTCTCCAACACTGAAGAGTTTCACAAAGCTAAACCCGGGTTGTTGAATATGCAATCAATCCCACAGAAAGTATAATGTATATCAGTGCACTAAAACGCATATTTCCTGTCTGTGAAGATAGTAGCTCTTCCATCATACCCTTGAAAGGAACTTTTCCCCTCGGGCAAGCCCCCAAGGAATACTTCCTTGCTAGCTTTCAATAAAAGATCTATCCCACTCACAGTTCAGTGGATAAAATATTACTGTCATATGACCGGTTTTTAAAGGTTTTTTGGTTTTCTTTGGCAGGCCCATAGTTAGCCTACTATTTTTGAAAACCAGAGGGTTGCAATCATTGACACGAGGCAACATTTACGGTCCATATGAATGAATTAACATTTTAAAAATATAAAAACAGTAAAACTTGTAATGTCTATTTAAGGGATGAATTTTAATAGCTACCCAATTTATGCTGTTTAATCTGGATTGGAACAGCTTACTCCTTTAAAGTTTATAAAGCGTACACTGTAAAGCAGATAATATGTCAGTCATCAAGGTTAATATGATATAAACGAATTTTACTGTCTAATCAAATGAGACATTAAATCAAGAATTAATTCATATAAATTTATAAAGAAAAGCTATTTAAACCACATCTTTATAAATCATCTTGTAAAAATAGCTTTTAAAAATTCTAGACGATTTTTAAGGACTAATATTTATAAAAAGATCATGAATTGTTTGCGCATTATTTAAATATCTACTTCGTATACAGACTAAAAATCAGTACATTCTAAAAGAATATGGTATAAAATAAAGGAATAGTGACGAGATATGCATTCGAATTCAGACCATAGCTCTTTGCTAAGCATATATGAATGGATTAACCTTTTCCTGATCCTTTCGGCCGAAATCGGATGAATTATGAACTTTGTTTTTAATAGGATAGCGTGTATCACTATCACCCAAATCCCCCCCCCCCCCCCCCAAAAAAAAAATGCCATAGAGGACTCAGATAAACTTTTATTAAATATTTCAGATATTGGTTATAAAATTTTTCTTACTAATAATGCCCTAGGTGGATTTCAAACTCGTAGTATTGTACGAAAATGAGATCCCCTGAAGTTATCTCCCTTGCTCTGAACAGAATTTAGCAAACGAAATAATTGAAAATTTTCTCATCATGCATTTTCTAACAATCCCAAAAGAGAAGAAATGCATAGTCCAAAGATTGTAAAACATCCCACCCTGTACACCGTCCTCCAAGATTGTTTTAATAAGGTATCTGAAATACATTTTGAAATCACCTCTGACAATACGATGAAATCAGAAAATAATGAAATATTTAGATCAATCAGAGACTCAATTTTACCAAAATTAGATGGTCAAAATTCACCAAAGTGATCGAAGTACAGGGTCTTCTTTGCTCATAGAAAAGGATTCATCTATCCCCTGCCCAGATCATTTTTACCTTTTATTATTCTTTACTCCATGATGGAGTGTCTTCCCCTTAAACTGACTTCTCTTAATCTTTCTTGTGGCATTATATTGGATTAGATTGGATTAGATATAAATCCCTTGTTTTCTGGAAATTTTTAGTTCTTTGTTGTATAAATTTGCGGGAACTTTAAAGAAATAGGAAGTTGGTTGAAGAGTTAATTCCTCTTGCTTACATGTATTATGTACTTTAATGCTGATTAACTTGTATCATTTTGAGTCGTACGTGTTAAATGCTAGTTATTACGATGATATCAGGTACAGATAGATGCATAGATGTTAATTTCTCAATACTAGTAAAGTTTTTTCCTGAATCTTTTTTTTTACAATCTATTACTTATCTTTCTCCAAGGGTGTGCCAAGGCAGGAGTATATGGAAGTCACTGTAGTATACCCTGTCCAGATAATTGTCAGGAAGATAGATGTAATATTGTGAATGGATCATGTCCTGGGTGTATTCCTGGATGGACTGGAGAAATGTGTAAAGAAAGTAAGATTTCCATTGTTCTAAAGAGTTGCTTACTATTAAGGCATTCTTCCTCTTTTTCTTCAATTTATCAATTTTCGTTCCATCCATAGAATGTCCATGGGGATGGCATGGGGTCGCGTGTAAAGCCAAGTGTGCAGGGCATTGCAGAGGAAACCTAACGTGTAATCACGTGACAGGACAATGTGAAGACGGTTGTACAAATGGATGGATAGGACGATTATGTGATGAACGTAAATACATGTAACCATAAAATTTTGTCTAAATGTTAATTTTTTGGAAATTATGCTAGATGTATGCTTTTGACAATTAAAGTTTTCATGAGGAAGATAATCAAATATGGTATTATGTATCTATCTTTTCTATAAAAAAAAAAGTGAATGATGCAAATTGAAATTATTAAATAAACAAAGCCTATTGATAAAACTTAAAGACATAGTGATGTTTCATATATATTATCCGGACAATTTTAATCGTGAAGAATCTATCAAAACTAACATTGCACCATAGTATAATAATACATCTAAAAGTTTGTCATTGGAATTATAGCCTTTTGTTTGACTAGGCAGGTTTCAATATTCAATCCTTGATTTTTTAATTTCTTTTTTCATTATAAATTAAACTTTTCCTATTAAGGAGGTTGGATCCTGCTATCAAAAGCAATGAGAATTTTTTATCAAGTATATTTTCAGAATTTATACACATAGCTTAATTAAAAATCAAAACAAAAAATGGGGGTCAATGCGCGTCTTTTGGCGCTACAAAGCATTTAGTTTGTCTATAAATTGTCTTATAAATCAATTTTTAAAGTTTTTCCTCCAATATTTTTTATTCAATAAATTATGGGAACAAACACAGTCTTATTTCATCTTGAATAGACACATTAAAATTTGTGACAACGAAATTTTTTTTCAAATTACTCCGCATGTTCAATTATTTGACCTTTTTGCACTCAAATTTTCATTTTTCAAGCATTAAAAATTTAACAAGCAAAAATCTCATTTGAAAGTAATGACATTTTACTGAATTTAAGAAGAATGGTTAAAAGTATCTTATATATTCAGAACATAAAATACAAAAGCGGGGGTCTGTGATGTTAATTTTTAGATATTACTAAAATAGTGCTAATTTTAAGCTTAAAATAGGGATATTTTTTCTTGATTTTCACAATATATTTGCTATATTTATCATATATGATGATAGAATTTGTGACAGTTTATTTAATATATAATTTAGGACCAGTATAAAACAGTTCACTGCACAAAATAACTCTGTGTGCAGACTGCATGTAAAAATAGGAATCCAAACTTAACATACTTTAAATACTTCGAAAGAGAAAAAAATGATCATTTTCTTCTAAAAAACCTTCCGCCACAAAATGAAGTTCCTCACTTAATGCTTTTGGTATTTAATAATGGAGTTTTAACTGAATATAGTTTAATTGGTATTGTAGAATCCAAAATTATTGTAAGAATTAAAACTTTATGCAGAATTTTTTAAATATAGGTTAAGATTTCAATCTGCTCAAAAGCTCAGGAGCGAACCTCGTTAAGCATCGCCGAGGTTTCAGAAAAAAAACTCTATAGTTGAATTCTCCACCCCCTCCCCCAAGTTTTGCTGCTTCTTAATCAACTGTTACCTTAAAATCTACAAAAAAGTAGCCTTTGTTTAAAACTTTCTGAGTTGTGTGCTTTAGTATTAAGTTTGTCATAAAACCGCCAAAGCTTCTAAATATAAAATTTATTTAAATATACTGCTTGAAGTATGCTGTTTAATGTTAAATTAAACTGTACCTTGTAAATTGTTTAGTTTACAATTTACAGCGTGTAAAGGAGGCTTTTATGGACCTGGCTGTGTTTATAACTGTAGCGGTCATTGTTTGAATAACTCTTACTGCAGCAGAAAAACTGGTCATTGTGACAAGGGTTGCAGTCCCGGATATTCAGGAGATTTTTGTAATCAAAGTAAGTAAATATTATTAAGATATGTTTGTGTTAAAGTTTTTCTCCTTTCAAGTTAGAAAAGAATCAACGTTTGTTTTAAAAGCTTGTACTCCTGGATTCTTTGGAAACAATTGTCACAGACAATGCAGAAAGTGTAAGAATGAAAGATGCAATCATACAGACGGAACTTGTGTGGAAGGATGTTTAGATGGTTTTGCTGGAAGACAGTGTTCGAACAGTAAGAAATTAAATAGCCTTAGAAGTTGCACAATGCACTATATTATCAACGAAATAAATGAAGTTTCATTAGTTTCCTTTCAAAAGAAAAAGAATGCATATATTTTTAGAACTACGCAAAGTACCTTTATCTTGCTTTCAGCATGCAAAAAGGGATATTTTGGTACAAACTGTTCTAACGTTTGTTCTTCGAATTGCAACAATTCATGTCACCATATTGACGGCTCTTGCAATCAAGGTCAGTTTAATTTTTCAGATCTCTAACAGTTTTTCATATACATATTATCATATGCATATATTTATGTGCCTTAGTTCCTGAAAGTTTTTTTCTGTTATAATTGAAAGTATAAAATCATATCTTAAATACAAATGTACATAACTAGCTCTAATTATAATTCTGTTGCAAGAAAAAATACTACAGTATTACAATAAGCACATGCAAATTCAAAAAGAGGAACTTTTTTTTAAAACCAGCTTTTATTAGTGTATCTGTATTTTAAGATATTAATTTTACATTGGGGCATGTTAATCTGACCCTGAATTTCCTAAATACGTGTAGAAATACATTATGCACTTTTAATTCTTCAATCATTTGTTGCATAAAAAATCTCTTTCTTATGAAAAAAAAAACACTGTATGAAAAAAATACTGGTTCGAAATGAAATGTATAACCGGCATGTAGGTTTTATTGCAAAATGTTGCATACAAAATGAAATGTATCTGGCATGCATATATACAAAAACTATATGTTATACATATGCATTCATAACGTTTATTCTATGCATCTTTTAACTTTTTCGTTTTCAAGGTGTAGAGAATTTTGAAATGTTGGAAACTGAATCTACTAATCCTTCAACTGTTGGTGGTGTCTTGGGAGCATTCGTAGTTATAATTATTCTTGTTGTTCTGGCTATCCTTTTTATAAGGTTAATATGATTTTTTCCCCTTTTTTATTGATTTGAATTTCATTATTTTACAAAAGCGTCGTTTTCTATAGAGTAAAAGTAAATTTCGTCATAGATATCTTCTTCTGATTAATTGCTAGCAAGACTCAGACATTAATATTTTTTTTAGTCCAAAGGAGTTGATTTTCTATATAATATTGGAATAAAATACATTTATCAATCTGTGATGAATCAAAGTACATATAGCTTCGGTATAAACATTTTAACTTTATGTTAACGTAGATTCAAGAGGAGATCATTAGAAGAATATTTGGAAAAGCCTAAGAAGAAGGCGTTTTCATCAATGGAACTAACTAAGGAAAAGTCCCCGACAATAAGTAATCATACGGATAAATTATTTTTTTTCCCTAGCTTTTCATTTAGAAACCATCAATGTTTCCTTGTGCTCATTTAGAGTGATGAAGGTTTCAATTTGTCCTGTTGATGTGATAAATGAATCAGTTTATGTACTTTCTGCAAAAAAATGTAACCTAAAGGATACATGCTTTTAAATTCAAACTCTTTATAAGACACTCAGAATGGATGTATGAGGGGTAATCAAAAAGTTCCCGAACTATCTCTATATTTACAAAACCACAATTCAGATCAGAATGAAATTTTGCACACATATAGTCAAACACGTGTTCTATAAATAGCAGATGTTATGTAATCTTTTGCTCCATGTTTGTGACGTCACAATGTGAAAATGACGTCAAAAGGTATTTTACTTGTGACAAAAAATGATTGACTCAGTCGTACTCGAGCAACGAACGGCTGTAAAGTTTAATGTGTATCTTATGAATTCCTTAACAGTAGCATGTAATAAATTGTACAAAGTTTATGAAGACAAAACACTTGCCAGGAGTTCAATCATTAATTGGATTGATTGTTTTAGTGAAAGAAGAGAGATGGTTAAAAGTGATGTTTGTACTGTTGTTCAATGAAAGCAAGGTGGGGAAGAGATGTATCCTTAGTTGAGCAAAAAATAAAGTCCGCCAAGTTAAATTTAGAAAAATAGTCGAATATCTTAACAATAATATAGTTATTAAATCCCTTAACTATCGTTTACTTTAGACTTTAAACATATCAGATATGATTAAAAGAAGGCGCCCGTACTTTATCCACACTGGATAAACGACGCTCCCAAGACAGAATACTCGGGTTGTGATGATAACTCTGGTCATTCTGGGAGAGGATATCATTATCCACCCATCCTATTGCCGAGATTTGGCCATTTTTGACAATTTGACTGTTCTCGTTATAAAAAATAACTTGTATGGTAAGAAAATAAGACTCGGAAAAATCTTTTACCTTCTGTGAACAAAACGCTTAGGACCATGACACGTGACCGTCTGTATCACGTGATTCTCGCATGGGCAGAAGTTGGCAGATGTGCTTTCAAATTGGAGAGGACTACTTTAAAAACTAATGAACACTGAAACCTAATTTCATTTATTTTATGGAAGTAATTCAGTTATTTCGCGAACTTTTTGATCACCTCTCGTAGAAATCTCTTTTGGTGTCAGTCCTATGGACTAGGCTTGGCTACTGGTACATGTAGCTGGTGGCCTGGAAATACATGTATTTTCATGGGGACGGAAAAAAACAATAAACATTGAATTGTCAATCGTAAGCTGTAATGAATGAATATCATATAAATTTAATACGGTTTTATGTTTGATAGATGACATTATAAGTTAGCGCAACGACTATGTTGGTTTAAAATATATCAAAGATACAAGATATTATCAATCTATCAACTTTGTAAACATCAATAAATTAAAATTTTAGCATTCAGCAATGTAAAAGATGAACACGAACAAAGTGTCACAAAACGGTCTCGAATTGTGAATGAAACTGCTAAAAAGGGTCCTCCAACGAACAAATCTATCCCAGTGAGGAATTTGAAGACCATCATAGTCAAGATGTCTACTGCGGAGAATGCTGGATTCAAACATGAGTACCATGTATGACATTAAACATTTTCAAAATTTATTCACAGTCATGATTTTTTTTATCATTGGGTTATTTTATTTCATTTGTTAGTTGTCTAGCAAATTTACTGTTATTCTGACACAGCATAATATGATTTTATCATATTCCCAAAGCATGCAAGTCTTACTCGAACCTGTACTGGTTGATGTCTAGATCTAGTGAAATGAACAAGCGGCTGCTGCGTAAAGAATTGTAAAACATCAGCCTATTTGTTCATCACTAAGATATTTGTAGGTTTATATACATATATAATGAGAGAGAAGAAAGTGTTCATATCAGGTGGTCAACGAAACTCCTTGTTAAGGCATTAGAAATGTAACTAGAGTGTTCCAAGGAACGCATGTGTCACCTGCTTTGTAGCTTCATTAAATATGTAAATAGGTCTAAGTGTAGTTAGCTATAGCTATTTATTTACTACTTGCATGATAGTTCATGAATGCACAAAAAAGAATCCACACATAATGTAAGACTGTGACAGAGTCTGACAAAGAAAATATAATTCCCAACCCTCAAACGAATAATTAAGTTGAAATTATTATAAATAATTATTTATCATTTTACATGTGTTAATACGTGTTTCAAAGTCTTTACACCAATTGTCACTCTACACGACCCGTTGTGGGATACAGATCCCGATGTATTTTCATAATATTTAAATATCTGTTTGTGTGGTAACTGAATATCATACAGTTTAAAAGTACAGTATTATGAGCTCATAAACATTTATAAATGATAATTATCAACACATCGCCTCTCATAATTCAAATATATTAATTCTAAATTAAACTGTCCGGTGTATTTTTTTGCAAAAGAGGTCAAGGGTCACGGTCAAGTGAATTGTTACGCTGGTAATTTTCATAATGTTTTTATGACAATCACTGCACATGCTGAATAGCATAGACTTATACCCCTTAAAAGTAAAAAAAAGATGCTGCATATTGGCACATTAAACTTTTTTGTAAAGTAGGTCAGACAAACAGACATACAGACAGACGAACAGACAGACGCCGGGTAAAGTGATCCCTAAGTCCCTCTCTGCTCTGCAGGCGACACAAAAATAAATTCAATATTCGATCCACAAGGCTCATAAAATTGAGGGAGATGTTTTTTTATGCAATGTCTTCCACAATTTAATGATCATTCATAATTTTTTTTATGTTACTTTGATGCCTTTTTTCTGTTTCAAAGGAAATACCAAAGGGTGAACTTCATCCTTGTGAAGAGGCAAAAAAGTCGGAAAATAAACCAAAAAATAGATACACGACCATATTCCCTTGTAAGTATTCAAAATTCTTTTAAAATTATAATAGTTGAAAATTGATTATGTTTTTATGAATATTCTTTCTCAAATTAAGGATGTTCAACGAATGTTCCTATGAAAATTAAGAATGCACCATAAAACTTTAATTTTACTAGACGACCACTCTCGCGTTGTTTTGAAAAAAACGTATGAAGGAGATTATATCAATGCTAATTATATCGAGGTATGTATGGGTGTGCTAAAACTTATATTTGAGTCACACGATCTTGATATCAGTAATTACATACAATAAATGTATTCTAGTTTTAATAGCACGTAAATGTACGTAAGAAAGTATCTCTATTATTTTTAACAAGGCAGAACTTGTAATTTTCCTTTTTGTTCGTTAAACGCTTATGCATTTACTATCGTTTACTATTTATCAATTAAAAATAATCAAAGTTTAAACTATCTTTTCTAAATTTTTGTTCTGACGACAGAATGTCCTTCATCAACGAAATTACATCGCAACTCAAGGTACGTGAATATGGCAGTATTTAAGCAGCCAGATTAAATAGTACATGTATTTATCTTAAAAAAGGCAGAAAATGTAATTATTGATTCCCGCTGGTAATCTTTTTCTTAATCGTTAAATTGTAGGCCCAAAACCTAAGACAATCGGTGATTTTTGGCAGATGATTTGGCAGGAGGATGTATCTGTCATTGTTTGTTTGACCAATCTCAAAGAAGGGACAAAGGTTTGTTTTTTGACTATCTTTTTATTGCTTTACATACTCATTGTTTCTGGTTAATTTTTTTTGTCCTTTTGGAGGTAACTCATAATCTTGAAAAAGCAAGAAAGTAGGGAGGAGTAGGGACTTTCTTGCCTTATATCATTCTTTAACAACAATAATTTAGTAGCCTTCTAATTATGATAAATTCGTCCCTCTCTAGATTTCATAGAACAAAAAAATAAAACAAAGATCATACACAAATAGTATTGTATGTTACCTATTCATAATAAATGAATCAAAATATCTTGATGAGCGTACAATGAGCTTTATATCTTGTGCATATTCATTTTGTTTCTGAGGTATTTCCAGTGTATTTCTGCCTCTTTTTATGAAGAAGCGTATCTCACATATATCTGAAGATTTGTTTTGTTATTGTAGAACAAATGTGCCCAATATTGGCCAGATATCAGCGATAAACTACAAACAGGGGATGTTACACTGAGACACCTGGAAGAAAAAGTATATTCTAATTATACAATAAGACGGTTCAAAGCAAGTAAACATATGGTAAGATATTTGTTAAGATATTATTTCTGATATTTATTTCTAGTTTTCGCAGTATTAGATAATGTTTGGAAAGACTTAAAAAGATTTTTTTTTTTCAATCCTGTAATTCTCCAGAGCTATAAAGAAAAGGAAAGATATTTCTTTTGTTGTTTTTATTGTGTGGAAGACCCTTGGCTTCCGTTTATGAATGATTACCGGTATGTACTTTTTCACACTTGAGATGTTTCTCTTTCGTTAAAAAAAAGAACAATTTGGCCTTCCAAAGTAAAAAAAAAAATGCTCTAGAAGTATGTTGCATGTTGTTTGCTATAAACGTATGCAAGAAATATGTATCATTAACAGACAAATCACATTTCTGTCATGGAACAATGGAAACATTCTTTATGCATTTTAAAGGTAGCTATTATCATGTGTAAGTTTAATTCAGAAATGTTATGCAAATCTCAAACCGTTTGGAAAGATCACATGATTTAATCTTACAACAAATTGATTCAAACTGAGATGTTTAAAGTTCTCTCTGAATCTTGATGAAGTGATAAGAAGCATTATCATCTTTCCCTCTGTTGCTATCGACAAAGGAATGTACATGTATATTTTCATATTGAAAAGTCATCTTTCTTATCAACCATCCATTGGTATTACCATATCTAAAGGAAAGGAGATAATGTTCCTACTGTCCTAATATCCCCATATTGCAATTATTTAATTATCAAAATTGTATTAGTAAAATCTATATACCTACCTTGAGTTCCTCTTGGTCACATGGTGTAATTTTTGGTTATTGACAGCAAGAATCTCGTCCTCATAGCTTTACGTCATCCTCAAAATATTGTTTTATATTGTTGTTATCTTCAAAGGAGTTCTTTTGTTTAGTGATTTTATCAATGACTTCATTGCCTTTCCCTTTTAACATTTGAGAAAATAATATATATTTTATACGAAACAAGAAAGTATTGATGGCAAAGCAGAAGCCCAATGAAAATATACATATGTATTTCTTATGAACCTTATATATACTATCTGTTTTATGAAAGATGTACGCATGCGCATGACCCTTTAAATCTTTATCTGTTTGTATTTAAACATTTCAACACTAAATATGTACCATTATTATTATTTTTCTACATATATGCTTTCTATAAGCCATAATGCTTATTTTTTTGAATGAACATTTACGATAATTTATTCATGAAAATCGTCATCCCTTTTTGATGAATTAAGGCAATTAATTTCTAAACTTTCACATCAAAATGCACTGTTAAGATGTTTAAACAGGGTCTATTAGAAAAATACAGATTTTGAATGAATTTGTCATTTTTAAAAAAATGAATGAAGCAAAAAGTGGTGTTTTTGAATTAGAATAAGGATTTATTTAATTCTGAAAAAAAGATGATCCGAATACTTATCAACTGCAAAAAATGTCAGTCATTGTCATTTTTAGCAGTTATGTTCTCTCTTAATTGCTTTAAACTTATGCTATCTGTCAGAGTTATTATGCTAATGTGTAAGAGAAAACTTTCCCTCTAATGTACTTGACTGATTCAACTGAGTTCTTGAAAGGAAATTATCCCACTTATAATCAACGGGGTTTAGTACACAAGATCCCGGGATAGCTTATTCCAGCCTGAGTGTACATTAAGAATAAGACTGAATTAAAAAATAAAATTGATTTCAGCTTATGAAAAACTCTTGGGTTTAAATTACTTTCAGTCTTGTATTTACATTAGCCTGGTTCATTATGAATTTGCGCCGATCACGAAGGCATTGCCTGGTTATATTTTTTGTTTCATAAAGCGTTTCGAAAGTTTCAAGGCAAGTGCATCTTTACAATACCATAACTTAACAAGGGTTGCATAATTAAGGATAAGAACATGTTTGTATTTTTTACAAAAACTTGCAAAATGAAGCCGTGTACGCAATTTCTCAGGATTGTTATTACGTAAGAGAATGTCATTTTTGAAACTGCTCATGAAATATGTTGAGATAACGAACAGTTTTCGAGCTCAAAAGTCCATTAAACATTACAAAATAGGAACAGAGTAAACACGGACCACTAAGACATCAGAGGTGGGATCAGGTGCCACAGAGGAGTGAGCATCCCCTACCGATGCACCCGCCGTGTGCTCCTTGTCATGATCGGGAAATAACGGAAAAATCATTCGATTATTAAATTTTAGATTTTAAGTAATATTCCTGAAATTTGTTGTGATGCACCACATAAATATAGAGTTACGCTACAGGATACGGATGGATTTGATGTAATAGATATTGGACAAGTTGCATATGAAGGGCAAAGGTTGAAAACAATTAACGCTATGGGAAAAGACGCCTAAATTGTACGAGATGGATTGTGCTACTATTCAATTATGAAAATGGAGAAATATTCATTTTTACCGGCATTGCCAGTGTCCTATTCCTTCGGGCCAGCCTTCTTTATGTAACAGTACCTCTATCAACTTTGATTCCACACTATTAAAATTTTGCACTGTTATTTACAAATATTGGTCAAAAATGTGTACCTTCTGTTTTTGTATATCAAAATGCATTTTTTGACTATTATTGAACTGATAAATTTTCAGTCCGTCACACTAAATAACTGAGATCTTCCTCGTGTAATTGATATCTCTAACAGTTTTCTCTGTCATTCTGGAGAGGGGACTTCTTTGTTTAATTTGTATCTTTAACCCTTTCATAACATATGATTCAAACTTTGCAGATGGACTGTACACATTGAAGATTTACATCTCTTATTTTGGAGTTTTCAAGAAATATGGATATAAATTTAATTGCTGTGGTAAAATTTAGAAATTTATTTCAAAATCAAGGATAATCTCCCTCATGTATCTTTTCCTTCCACATTACTAAACTGAAACTTTGAATTCTCATTGTGAATACATTGAACTTTTCACATTGTTTGTACATACATTGAACGTGCACTGTTGATGCAAAATAGAAAGAACTTTATTGTTAAAACTGTAGTATTGAGTTCAGTTCGTTACGCTAATGGAAATTTTTGTACCTTTGTTCATTAAATTCAGCTAAATGTTTCAACGTACATTTAAGATCTACTCTTGCAATTTTGATTAATTCAAATGGAAAGAATGTTTTTTTTTAAACTGCGGCTTTGTTTATCACACTAAGGAGACACTTTCTGTGTTGCACGGAGAGCGACACTTAGGGATCACTTTACCCTGCGTTTGTCTGTCCGTCTTACTGTTCGTATGTCTGGCACAACTAGCATCTCTAGAACTGTAAGAAGTATGGATTTAATATTCTGCACATATATAGAATGGCACTACGGCTTTTGTAAAATATTATGGTACCAACCTTGTGACCCTTGAACTTGACCTTTGACATACGTTTCAAAATATTTCTTAGTCCAATATATATCACATTTTTGACATCTAAGGGTTAAGTATATGCTATTTAGCATGTGCACTGTTTGTCATAAAATATTATGAAAAATACCACTGTCTTTCACCTACTTTGCAAAAAAAAAAAAAAAAAAATCTTGACAGTTTAATTTAACTGATGTGTTTTGATGTTGTAGAGACAGAGTTTTGATAATTAACATTTATATTACAAGTTTATGAGCTCGTGACACTGTACTTTGAAATTGCATGATGTACAGATATCATCACAAGCTGAAATTAAAAAGTTTGAAAATTCGAGGGTTGATCCAAAAGTTATGTAATGTCACAATCTTTAAAAATCAAATGTTATCACCAATATTTTACATACTAATTCCCCTATTTATTTTGATTTTTGTCGTAAATTTTCAGTCAGTAATGTAAAATACTATTTAAAATATTAAGAAAAACACAGCAGTAGGTTTTGTCTCTCACTGCATGGCAAGAATGTTACCGACGTTGTTACTGTGTTACTTTTTTACTTTTTTTATTTACAGTTCATCCGCATATCTTAATAAAGCTCTAGTTTTTCTTTAAACAAGAGGCCTGTCAGCCACATTGCTCACCTGAGCACATTGGCAAGGAAATAGCACAAATTAGTTTGGTATTGAAAAGTTTACATAAGGGTGGGGGATTTGGATTTTACACTTCATGAGGATGCTTCCATATCAATATAACAAATGGCTTTGCTGATCTTAGGCAGTAGATTTTTAAAAGATTTTTTCCACTATATTCCTAAGAAAAACTTTAATCCCCCAATGTGGCTCAAGCCTTAACCCCCCCCCCCTCCTCATTTCAACAAACTTGAATCCACATTACCTGAGGAAGCTTCCATTTCAATATGACTTAACATGGCTTTTTTTGTTCTTGAAAAGAAGATTTTTTATATATTCCTTTCTAAAACTTTAATCCCTAATTGTGGCCCCACCCAACCCCCCGGGAGGCGGTAATTATTTGAACAAACTTGAATCTACACTACACGAGGATGCTTCGATATCAGTATAACTAAACATGGCTTTGCTGTTCTTGGGATTTTTAACGATTTTTTCTATATATTCCTATGAAAACATTGATCCCCCATTGTAACCTCAATCTACCCCAGGGGGTCATAATTTGAGCAAACCTGAATCTACACTACGTATACCTGAGAATGCGTCCATATCAATATGACTAAACAAGACTTTGTTGTTTTTAAAAAGAAGATTTTTAAAAAAAATTCATATGCATTCCTATGTAAAAGTTTGACCCCCCCAATTGTGACCACACACAAGCCCTGGGGGTCATGATTTGAACAAAAGGTAGAAAATTTGAAAAATTTCAGACAGACGAACGGACAGACAGACAGACAGATAGACGGACAGACAGACAGACAGACCGACTATCTACATACAAAGTATGATCAGAAATGCTCACATAGGTTTTACGCTCAAGTGAGCTAATAATCTTTACGGCCAGTCTGTTCTAAAGCTTCCTGTTTTGAGTTGTTATATTAAAATTAATTAAACATTGTTCAATTATTATTTCTAAATTGACTGTGGATAGATCTCAGTTGTGGGTAAATTGAAAATGAATGCCGTATAGAACGCAAGAACGACGTCCATAAAATTTCTTGCTGTGCAGCGAAAGACCCATGGTTGTGTTTATTTTAATAATTTAAAAATTCTGCAAAAATCTGAATGAAATTTTAAGGCAATTTAGTCAAAACAGATAGATGTATTGATAAATATATTGATAATGATTAGTTTAGATTTTATAGCAGTTGTGACATTACTTTTGGATCAATCTTCGTACATTTGGATAGGTATTCCAAATTGGATGGTTGGAGACTGACAATTGCAATAAAAACAGACGGAAAATCTCTTTTGTAGGATTGTTGGAGTCAAATGATAAATAATTATTTCAATAATTTCAATGTCATTATTAATTTAGGGTTAGAGAATGATATTTCTTTTTAATTCACATATTTATGGCGATGATCATTTTATTTTATTTTTTTCAAATTTCATATTTGATTGTTTTATTTTGCTAAAAATCTATCTACGCAAGAAAATTTATTCATTTAACATTTTTTAAAAACGTTTTGAATGCATTACACAGTTCATTAGACTAACATAGTTCCCGTAACTACAGCAATATTTAAAATTATAGGAGCAGAAAGATCGTGAGGTTGTGATGTTTCATTACACGCGGTGGCCAGATCATGGGGTTCCTGATCCACTCAGTCTTGTTGTGTTCCATCGTCACGTAATGAAGATTTCATCAGAATACCCTGGAAAATATACAGTTGTGCATTGCAGGTTACATCTGGATTGATTGATTAATTATATGTTGTTTAACGTCACAATACGAGAATTTTTTACTCATACATGTATAAAGACGTCACCATATACCGCGCTGAAGGGCTTCAAATTTTGACCTTTACTCGGCACTCAGGGCCATTGAGCAATGAGGGATCTTTATCGTGCCAACGCCTCGGTTTTTAGGGTCTAATCCGAAGGACCCGCAACTTTCACTTCAAAGTGCCGAGCGCATGGCGAAGGAACAGTTGCTACAGATTTTTTATCGACTTAGGTCGAGATTCGTACTCACGACCTCCCGATCACGGAGCGAGCGCTCTACCGACTGAACTACAGTGATCGGTGGTTACATCTAGATATCTATTATGATAATATCAGCACTATATCATATCACACTAAAAGGAATCATTTTATACGTGCCTATAAGCATATTTACGTATATTATTATGAGCTGAAGAATACCCTAAGTATGATAAAATTGAAGGTACAGTGTAAGTGCAAAATACCTTTAGTTTTGCTTTGCTAGATATAAAGAATTGTGAGAAATAAACAATAAGAAGTGCAGTGGCAGAATCTTAAACATATTTTCATCAGAGAAAATTTGTTTAGGGCTTTTACCCTATTATTAAAATAAAAAATACGATTTCTTCAGCTACTATTGAATATCATAAAGTAAGCCATAACTTAAATTTGGTCATTTAGTCTCTACTATCTATACACACAAATATTCTAACTTGTATGATGAAATTACAGCGCAGGAATTGGCAGAACAGGGACATACATAGCTTTAGACGCCCTCTACCGGGAAGGTGAGATAATTGGTAAAGTTAATGTACCTATGTACGTCAGGACCATGAGAAAAGACAGAATGAACATGATTCAAGGGGATGTAAGTTTATTGTATGTTTAAGTATTTATTGTCATGTCATAAACGTAAAAAAGACCTTCAAATGTCTACACGGAAATATTTTAGTCCATACACCACAAAGTTTGATGTGATACATGTAGCATGGATATGCAATAATTTTTAACTGACATGTATAATGTTTAGATTTTCATCTTTTTGGTTAATATTTGCAAAATGCTGACATTTCATAATCGATGCCCTACCTGGTTTATTTACTTCCCTCTCAAATAAATGCCGTCTTTTTAAAAACGTTTTTGATTGTCAAACTTACGAGGAACATAGCAAGGTGGAGTATCTTTATTTCCTTATTTATTTAAGCAGAAACTGGCATTGGTTGACACAGGTAGCGAAACATAGCAAATCAAATTTCCTCTAAATTATTGTGCTGTATGGTGTTTGATGTCATCGACAAAAAAAAAGGTTCCCTGTACCATCAAATAATTTCCTTTTGATAGAATTTCTTATTGAAATCTTCCTTAATAATTACAAGGTGCTTTAATATTTTCCAATCGTTCAGTCATTCTAAAATGTTTACTTCCACGTCTTTACTGTACAAACAAATCTCTAAAAAGGCTTAACAAGTAAACGCAAAGAATTTATGCATTTATGATAACACTCTTTGATGACCCAAAAGAAGTTCACGAGATTTTTATTGCACTTTTAAAAAAGTACTTTGTGCAGGTGTATTTAATGATCAGTTGATCTAGAGGCACGATTTTCGATTGCTGAAAAGATATATTATTTGAATAGGACAAACATTGTTAACAACATAATCAATTCAAAGATAGTTCCATGTAAGAAGAACGTACTTTTAAACTTAAAGTCTTAGTTTGTGTGTAACATGAACAAAGCATTAAGTGAAATTTTCTTGCAATAGCCTGTGTTCTATATTTATATTATTTAAAGTGGGTGCTTCCTCATTCATTTGATTGTGAAGGTACTTCTGTTGAAAAGATGGAAGAGTAAGATCAAACCTTAATCTATCGTGCAATGCTTGTTTCTGTTTCTTTATCGGAAATAATAACTCACATATACAATCCTAATGAAAATATAATTTGGAGAAAAATAATTACAACTTACAATTTTTAAAACTACGCGTTTCTGATCTATTTATCATCCTAAGAATTATATTTTACTAGTAATATGAATCATTGTGCCAGTGTTCTAAGTGATCTTTATATAAGTTGTAGATGAATGAAAACTCATTTAAGGGATGTATCTCAAAATTATCTCGTTACTTTAGGACCAGTATAAAGCAGTTTATCTTGCCTTATGTGAATCTTTCAACGGGAAATCAAGATGTTTGACGTCCTCCATGTTTTCCAAGTTATTCCAAGATAAAACCTACATGAATTCTGGACAAGTTACAAAGAATTCCTCCTTGTCTTCAGAATTTCAGGTGATGCATGTTCATTCAGAAATTTTAGTTTTCTTGAGCATTTATGGGTACCCTTTTTAAAGTTAAGATACCAGAAGGAATCTTAAATATATGTTTTCATTAATTCCAAGATTTACATATTGTGCTTTAAAAGTCTCTGTCTTTGTAGGAGCTACAGTCTCTTCGTAAAGAATACACTGAGAAAGACTATGGATCTGGCCGAACAAATGAATCAGCAAATTATACAGAGAGTGTCCTACCAGGTATACCAAGAGCAATTAGATTCTAAAATACATTAGCAAAACGTCATGAGTTTCTCTTTTTGAGGATCCATTATATTACTCTATTTATCAATATTTCACGTGTGAATTAAAACAGAAAAAAAAATAATTAAGATTTTATTAAAATGTCTCGTATCTTACTCTTGATTTACGTCTCCCTTTTCAGTGGAAGAATTTCTGTGTTATTTGTCCTACACAAAGGGAAGAAACACGTACTACAACGCTGTTCTTCTACAGGTCCCTAATATATAACAAAATAAATTAAGTACTTTGATATATAAAAACATTTATGCTGATTTAATCTTGAAATAAGGTTTAATTTTTAATTAAATATCCCTATGAATATTTCCTGAATGGAGTAGTTGTTTTCAAGCTATTTAAATGTTTTGTCTATTAGAATTCTTTGAATTTGAAGGACACTTATTATAAATAACTTTTTTATAACTTTTTTAGATTCATGCATCAGTAGCATCAAATGTTAATGGTACTTGAACAAGAAAACGTAAACATTTATTCCTAAGACCTTTGCAATTGTCTTATAAAAAGAAAAGATGTTTTACAATTTCTATACCTGTTCAATTTTCAGTCCTTCACTGAAAAAGACAGTCTTATTAGCGCCCAGTACCCACTTCCTGACTACACTGAAGACTTTCTCAGACTCATCAGTGATTTTGATGCTCGTGTTGTGGTTTTTATGTGTCCGATAAGAGAATTGAAATCTGTATGATATAGTGATCATGTATTTGAAAAAAAAAAAAAAAAAAAAAAAAAAAAACAGTCTATGATCAATTTTTATACTTATTATCATGCTCAATAGTACAGTATAAAAAAAATACATATTTTCAAAGTTAATATGAATTCGAACAACCATTTATGTTCAAATAACTTTTTACTAACATATCAGAAGTTTTTATTCATTACGTACAGAAAAAGATGTACTAAAAATACTCTTTTCCCTTAGACCTGTCTTTGGTTTCCGACGAAATCTGAACATAAAACCGTTGGGAATTTTACCATCAAATTGGCCTCGGCGACAAATTCTACAAACTTTGCATCAAGAAATATCGTCTTACAGCCAGAGGTATAATAAGATTTTAATTTCTGAACAGGTAGTTTTGGCATAGGTGATGTATTTAATTTATTTACATATTTCATTTACTTCATGAATCATTGAAATATTTATAGGGAGGCAGGACTATGGGGATTACAGTACTAGAATGTAAGACTTGGAAAGAAGGGAAAATGATAATAGATAAAAGAGCTTTGCTGGATTTAATCAAAGAAACAAAATCTGAAAAGACTAAGCACAAGGAAGGGAGGGTTGTTATTATGTCAAGGTACGTTAAATTTATTTTTTTAAGTCAGTTTGTTTGAACATGTAGACTGAAATGAAACACAGTGTCACAAATAGAGACAAAGATCCACATTGTATTGTAGGTATAAGCCCTTAAATGGAGTAGAACATGAAAAATTAATTCTTTGTCTGGAATAGGTATTAGCACACTAACATTTAGTTTTATGTTGATGAATATTGAAATCTATCACAAGAAGGAAACTGGCTCCTTTTTATCTTTTACAGTGATGGAGCCACACGTTGTGGAGCATTCTGTGTGGTTTATAACGCTCTGGAACAACTCTCTATGGACCAGGAGGTGGACATATTCACCATCACAAGGCAACTTCAGATCCGAAGACCGGAGTTTGTATCGACTTTGGTTAGTTTCCATTTCTCATAATTGGACGATAATTGAAATTTTAATTATTTTTGTGGACAGCGAGATACGGGTCTTTAGGTTGCACTACAGTATTAAATTTGCTAAATATTTTTACCAAAAATGCATATCTTTGAATAGGCGGTCTGAATTTAAAAAGGTTTGAGAGGTTTTTTTTTTCAGAAGTTGTAAAGCAATTCTTTATATACATTTAAGGACATACGCAACGTACCTTACATGTACCTACAGATAATTTTTTCAAGATAATTTAAGATTATAGTGTCATCAGATGTTCGTAGACAAACAGACAGCATGCATTACCAGGGGTTTTGAAAAGATATCAATTGATGAAAAGTCTTGTATAATTCAAAGAAAAATATACAAAAATTACTAAACATATATTCTAGATGTTTTGTTTATCCAAACTTGTTTTAGAAGAAGTGTACAACAGCATATATAGACATTAAAATGTAGCATAGTTCCTTTAAGTATTGGAACTCTTCAACTCCAGGGAAAAAGACGATAAAGTTCAAACTAAGTTGCATATGTTTTTAAGTAACAAAATAAAAAAAAAGCAAAACAGAAAAAAAAAAAAAAAAGAAAAAGAAAAAAAACATAGCAATCCAGCAAGGCATACAAGTTTGTTTCGGTCGCAGTCAAGCAAGTGTTTGAAAATCAAGTGCAGGGCTTAACCTAAATATAACTTAAATATCCTTAAATACAGAATATAAAAAAAAATCAGCACGCCAAAATTTTAATGAGTGTGGTATATAGAGGAAGATAAAATATTTTTTTTTCAATCTCAAAAGAAATTCATCTCCGGTCTCGTGCAGAAATGAACGAATCTGGAGGGACGATTCGGGAATTATTTTGCGTCAGCCAAGTTTTGATAACCTCGACCGAAATATTGTCATGACAAATTTAGTGTTTGATTTTATGCATCATTATCTCTCAATCATGGATAAGATTACTATCTAGAAGAGTGAGGCTTGCGTGTTTTCTTAATTTTGTAAACTCGATTATATTTAAGTACTATTCATTACTTGTCTTTTACATCATATCTAAATACGGTGTTGAACATAATTGTGTTTCATATCGAAGAAATCTTAACAGAAATAAAACTCTGTATTTTATCTGTTTCAGGACGAATACCAGCTCTGTCATGACGCTGTTGCAGAGTACATGCAAAATGACAGTGTGTATGCAAACTGCTAAATCTATTAATGATGAAATAAATACAGATCATAGTTGAATACTTTTAACAGACATTTTAAAATGTATTTTGCCTGCTTTGTTTACTCTAAAAGACATTTTGTAAAATATTTTCAAAATATAGAAAAAAAGCTTACTCTTGAAAATCTTAGTACTTTGATTGTCGCATACTATAAGTATTTTTGTAGGCACATTTTAATATGCAATAAAATCTGTTTACTGATTCTTTGGGATAATTATTTTTGAATTCATGTAGACCACCTTTGAAGGGTCTGATTAAAACAAACATTACTGTTTATTTGTTCCGATGAATAAAATGTTTATTACAAAGATTTTGTTTTCATTGTGATAATGTAAAGTTAAATAATTTACAATACCAGCTTTCTTGAACTGTCAAGAAACACAGAAGAGAACTTCACAATTATATTTTACTTAACAAAGACAATAAGCATTTTTTGATACTGTGTTCAATGAAATAAAAGCTAATGGAAGAGTCAGAAGTAGTTCAATTCGGAGCTGTATATCTTTCAGGACAACTAGATGTTAGACTTGCAAGGAGGACATATTGATTAAGACCTAGGCGATATAACTTATTCAAACTATACCTGCTGACAAGTTCGATCAAAGGGTAAAGATACACAAGTGCAAAATGTGTTAAAAGCGAAATTTGCCCTTGACTTTTGTACTTTTGAAATGAATAAAATGATCACAATTAACAATTGCAGAACAACTTTAATCCTAAACGAAAATTAAGTTTTCGTACGATTTTTTTTTTTTAGATACGGTCAGAAAAAAGGGAATAAATGCTTTAATATATAAGTATTTTAACACAAATTTCTCATCTATTTTTATTTTATGTACAAGATACATATTAATCTGTATTATTTACTTTACATAAATATGACTTGAGTATGAAACCAATGGCCCCCAAAAAAGAATAATCATTGATTATTTAACAAATAATTCTAATTTCTATCGGGATGTAAATACCGGCTGGTCAAGTGATAAAATCCCATAAAGTCCGAAAGTGGATTAAATTTTGATCACGTACTAACCCGTACCAATCCCGATAAAAAAAGTGATACCCAATTACTTAGATTTGTGACTGATTGATAAATAACAGATATTTGCTTATTAATGTTAAAAAAAACCATGATGTATTTTTCAAACCTTATCGACATAAATTGATAGTTCTGAAAACGTAGACCATTTATGACGTCAATGAAAATTACGTCCTGAAAACGTAGACCACTTATGACGTCAATGAAAATTACGTCGACCGTTTATGACTAAGCAAGGAGTTTTTGGTCATGTAATTAACCTGTTTATCCGACTTGTTCATGTAGTGTTATATACATGTAAGGGAAAGCATTTGTAAATTATAATTGTGTAAGCCACATATAGTTGAAGTTTTGCTGCAAGTATTTATTTTTCTTTGATGTGATATACTGTACCGTTACTCGCCATTTTTTCAAAGCAGAAATTGTCGACTTTGTCGAAATGCAAGTAAAATTGATCGACTCGCTCACCAAGCACTTAAAAGCTCTTGAACTGATAATTTTGGATATTTAATTTGTAACTGCGGCTTATGTCTTCATACATTTTGTAAGAACTCACATGTTCAATGTTTATGGTATATACATGCAAATGTAGAATTTTGTGATTTAATTTGTTTGTCTTATATTTCTTTAATCATTTACTTATTTATTCATTCATTTTTGTTGAAATTTTCGCAAGCTGACTTATTCATTGCTTCTCAAAGTTCATTGTGGCCCCGTTCAAATGCAGAGAGATGTCGCCTTTATGAAGCAGAAAATTCAGTTGATCGAGATATTAACAAATGTATCAACTAAGGAAGTCGAGTGTCAAGTGGACCTTGGTTGTATTCGCAGTGTCTACAAAAATGTGATTCCAGAGATGGAATGCGCGGGTACGTTTAGGCAGTACACAGATCATATTTCGGCGAATTTAGACTTTTTTCGTAAAATGTAATATTAATAAATCGGAAAAGCCATAGATAAAACATATACTATTATTATCCATTGTATAGACGTCATTGAGTCTGAGGCTAAAAGAAGCACTCCACTACGACGTCATCACGTGACGTCTATAAATAGAGAAATTGCCTTAAAGAAAAAGTGAAAAGTTCAACACCATCCCGGGGATAATTCATTTCTTTTTGTGAAAATAATTATGTAAAAACATTACTGGACCATGAAAAGTGCTGCTAGAATCCTACTCTCCAAACATAGAAAAAATTATTCCAAAGTTTCGCATGAAACCTTACCAAAATATTTACATTTTATACATACGATCAAGGAATTGTCATCAATTTATGTTAACCACACGATTCTAGCAGCACTTTCCAAGTACTATAGAATACAAGCTTTCGATACAAACAAAAATTATGTTTCACAGTATGCGGCGTAGTGTTGAACTTTTCCATTTTTGTTGTTATAGATCGACAGAGGAAAGGCTGATCGGGATTTCAAAGCACTGACTATGTTCATTATTAGAAAACATGATGAGAATATATCAGCGTACCTGATTCTTAATCTTTAATTCCTTATGAATCACACATAACATTCAATGTATATGCTTTAAAACTCCCATTTCATATATTTGTTTACATGGATTTTCGTTACGTTTCATTTTCACTCGGCAAATATTTGATCAATAGTTATGACGTCATGGGTTTGGTTTTTAACCCCCGTGATAAATACTTAGCTATTTATACCATCCAAAAACGACAAGATTTAGTTTATATTATGTTTTTGAATGATTCCGTTCATTCTTTGGATCTGAAATTAAACTTTAAATATAGATTTTAAGAAATCATTATTTCTAAAGATCACGTCATACAGCTTACTATGACGTCAAATTGTACAGGCAAGTAGGATATCTCTGGGTGTAGCCTTAACATACCAGCGTGTCTGAATTAACAACAATAGTTATTGTGACATCTTTTCCTGTTATATGAGCTAGAATCACAAATTCTCAATTCGATTTAAGACAAGTTCCCCCCTCCAAACTTTTTCTGGCTTCTGTTTTCTTAACTCCATTTTTGTCCAAATCATCAAGTGAAACAATATATGTGTTGATCCATCTACTACTACAATCCGTACTGCTGTAGGCACTCTCCAGCACTGCACAGTTTCTAGAGTCCATCCCAAAGTGTCTTAATTCCTTTGGTTAGTAACATGTAAGCAGTACAAACTCTTCTTCTACAGCTAAACATGCGTTTACTTTTTTTCCAACTATGAGGACATGCTGCAATTAAATATCTAAATGACTTGCAAGATTCGCATGTCAATAAATTTTCATCTGGTCCTGACTGATTCATACTCTTTTAACTGCAGAACTGTCCACTATTGATTGTCTGCAATGTGACTTGGATAAGAGCTTCTACTTTGGCCACTTTGATATCCTCGTCTCCTCATCTGCTACCTTCTTCCCTCTCCTCCATGAAATGTGTTGCTCCTCATTCTAGCATACCCAGCTGGCATCGGTGCTTCTTCGTTCTCTGCAAGGAATGCTGGTTCAAGTTTAATGGATACTGGTGTGGTGGGGGCAAGTCCTTCACAAATTTCACCTTAGTTTTTTTTTTAAGGATTTTCTTAGCCTCTTTATACAGAGTATCTTTGTTCTGAAAATTTATTCCTGTCAAGACTTTCTTTTTTCTTCGCTTCTTGGTAACTTGTGTGCAAAGATATCTGGGGATTAGGTCACGGTAGCTTAGTGGAAGTACGTTCGCTTCGTGCTCGGGAGGCCCGGGTTCGATTCTCGATCGCCGCTTCACGTCAAACTTACGACCTGACCATAGGAAGTGACTGTTCCTTTGCCGAGCGCCCGACACTAGAAGTGAAAGTCACGGGTCTCTCGGATGAGACCTTAAAAAACGAGGTCCCGTGTAACGATAGGCGTTGGCACGATAAAGAACCCTCACTGCTCGATGGCTCTGAGTGCCGTGTATAGGTCTAAATAAACTAAATTTGAAGCCCTCACCGGTGCATGGAGACGTCTCCATTTGAGTGAAAATTTCTCTAATGGGACGTAAAACAACATACAGTCAATCAATCTCTGGAGGTAACTTCAAATTTTTCTTCTAAATTTTTTCTGCATTTGGCATAAAAATGGTTATATATTCATTGATAGACTGCCCTTCCGGCCTTTTATAATCTTCAAATTTCCCTAAATTAATATCTGCTAAGTCATCTTTGGCTAACTGTTTGTCTAAAAACTCTATCAATGTTTTCACACATGTCTCCTTTTCTAGACTTTCCAAGTTCAACCGATCAAACACTTTTTCTTGTATCTTGTATCTTGTTTCTCTTCCGTGTTTGCTCTGCTCCTATTTTGTATTGATTAATGGACTTTTGAGCTTGAATACTGTTCGTTATATCCATATATTTCATCTGAGACTCATCGTTTTCAGAGGAGAGATAGGAACACCTTGTTTTTTTTTTATCTGTGTGACTTCTGTCCATGCTAAGAGTCTTTTCTTAAGGAGTTTTTAACTATTGGTTTTAGGATTGTAAGAAGGGGGATGATTTTTGTTGACATTTTCTCAGTTAATTAAGATAACTGTTTTTCACATTATCTAAACTCTGAATAATCAGTAATTAAATGGCATAAACATACACTTGCTTAAACTGTTTCTAGCACTGGGAATTAATTTTCCCTCAAGCACTCTCAACAACCATTGTTAGACCATGTGCTTTATTACCCAGCATCATACATTAAACAAGACTTTACAAGATTAAGCGCTTCCCTAGTAAACCAACTTTTATTCGCATGCAAGAAATATCCGCGATTTTCGCGACCTACTTTGACTCGCGAATATTAGTCGCCGCGATCTATTTATTCTGCTATTTGTATAGAATAATTCCTCAGTCGCAAAAATTAATCGTGGCGGATTGATTTCAAACTGACGAATCCCGATTAAAAGATGACGCGAATAATTAGTTGGTTTACAGTAAACATCAACTAAAGTAACTTCTCTGGACATGCTTTATGTAAGTAAACTAACACCAAGATAATGAAATAAAAAACATAAGAACTACAAATGTGGCATTTTATTTGCAAGAGGGTAAATTGACACGTATTTATGATTTAATTTTGAGACAACATGCTGGAGATCACTTTAACCGTGTTGCAAAGTCCCGCATAAACAGATGTTAGGTTTCACACAAGTGAGGCCGTTCTGGCAGGCTGGGCTACACTTTGCTGAAATTTAGAACAAAACGGAATCAATTTCAGATACTTGCCAATGAGCATGCAAAGAATGAGCTTATGTTTACCAG